ACTCGTTAGACCAGATTTTTGTTTTTTAGAAAAGACTAGTGCTGTCAAACGATTAATCGCATCCAAAATAAAAGTTTTTGCTTACATAATGTGTGTGTACTGTGCATATTTATTATGTATATAGAAATACACACACATGCATGTATACATTTCAGAAAAATATGTTATGTTTATATATTTATATATAATACAAATTATATGAATATAAATGTACATATTTTCAAAATATATACTGTATGTGTGTGCATTTATGTATACATAAATATACAAAAGTACACACATATATATTATGTAAACAAAACCTCTTATTTCGGATGCAATTAACTGTTTGACAGAACTAGAAAAGATACCGAATTACAAAAATATTCAAGACGAATAGGACAAATCTGAATCTCGACAGTACTATGACTGAACCGAATCAAAAACAGAAATAAGCTGTGCATTAAAGAAAACATGCGTCACAACACAGCTTCTGTCTGTAAGAAATATTTATGGCTGCTAAATTCTCAATTAGCCTATTTAAAGGTGTAGCAAAAGGTTAATTTTGGAGCCTGCCTGTAAGTCTCAGCAGAAGACATGGAGTCGTGTGTGTGTGAGTGTGTGTGTGTGTGTGTGTGTGAGTGAGAGACAGTGTGTGTGTGTGTGTGTGTGTGTGAGAGAGAGAGAGTGTGTGCGAGAGAGTGTGTGTGTGTGTGTGTGTGTTGAGAGAGTGTGTGTGTGTGTGTGAGAGTGAGTGTGTGTGTGTGTGTGTGTGTGTGTGTGCGTGAGGGTGTGTGAGTGAGTGAGAGAGTGTATATGTGTGTACGTGTTTTTGTGACAAATGAGGACATAAATGTGTATAATGACAAAGGTATAACATAGGTATTACAAGGAGAAGGTGACTTTTCAGGACATTACCCCATGTCCCAAAACGCTTCAAAACGTTCAAAACGCTTATAAATCACACAGAATGGAGTGTATTGAAAATCTGAAATAGCACAAAGTCTCCTGTGAGGGGTAGGTTTAGGGGTAGGGTTGGTGTAGGGCAATAGAAAATACGGTCTGTACAGTAGAAAAACCATTACGCCTATGGGATGTCCCCACTTTTCACAAAAACAAACCTGTGTCTGTGTGTGTGCGTGCGTGTGAGAGTGTGTGTGTGTTTACGTGTGAGTGAGAATGTGTGTGCGTGTCTGTGTGTGTGTGTGTGTGTGTGTGTGTGAGAGTGTGTGTGTGAGTGTGTGTGTGTGTGTACTGGTTTATATATTCTGGTGGGGACTTAAACCTGACTACACACAGACTCATGGGGACTCGTGTCACGGGGACCTAAATTGTGGTCCCCACGGGTACAAAAGCTTATAAATCATACAGAATGAAGTTTTTTGAAAATCTAAAAATGCAGAAAGTTTCCTGTGGGTTTAGGGGTAGGGTTGGTGTAGGGCAATAGAATATAGGGTCTGTACTGTATAAAAACCATTACGCCTATGAAGAGTCCCCACAAGGATAGCTGACCAGACATGTGTGTGTGTGTGTGTGTGTGTGTGTGTTTGTGTGTGTGTGAGAGAGTGAGAGAGTGAGTGAGAGAGTGTGTGTGTGTCCCTTTTCTCCTCACGCTCTTTAACCGCACTCATCCTGTGCTGCTCTGACAGAGACACAGGTGTCACTAAATAAGACACTCAACACCAGCTCCATCTAGCTTTTTAGTAACACTCATTTCCTCATAAAGTCACGTCATAAACCGTGAATTCCGGCAGAACACCATATAAAATGTTCATTATATTTGCATCATTCTGGATCTCTATTGGGACAGTTCTGTAGTAACTTCATGCGTTTTGAAGAAACTAATCAAATTTAGTCTGTAAACATACACTTATAGAACCCAATACAGTAATATTTAATGTTATTATATTGTTTAGGATTTTCAAGAGGTCTGAAAATGTAAAATAAAGCAATAATAACCCCAGTGATTTTAGAGCAGCTATGGGTCGTTGATAGGCACGACGTGGCCTTCAAAAGTCTGATTCCTTTTATAAAAAGATTACGACAAATATAGCTAGCAATGTTGCATAATTAACACACAGCAGCAACAACAATATAATAATTTATTGATAAATTAAGCAATGTAACTCTTCAAGTGTTTAGTGCCAAGCAACACACAGACACACAGATATAAGTTCTGAGGTATGTATGCACAAAATATACTTTATGTAAGTACTCAACCAATCATGAGCAAGTACCGAACCCATACATTTTATAGAATTTATTTTCTTTTTTCACTTAAATATTTCAAATATTCAAATTAAATTTGAAATCTGAAAGACATAAAGGGAAAATGTCAGTGAAACCTAGATTGTTAAAACCACAAGAGCATTCAACAAATAAGTAAAGACCACATGCGTGTGTATTACTGGTTTCAAAAAATAAAAGTTTTCTTCAAAACACACAGCATTGTTCACATCTTGAATATTTTCCGTCCTTCTACATCACAGAAATATAATCTTTATTTTTCATTGCTAGGTTCTTAAATTATCACAAGCGTTTTAGTTTAGTGATGTTTGCATGATCTTTTAATGGTACAATGAGCTTTGGATGTCAAAAGATCAAGGTAAATTAGCTTTACAATATTCATGATGCAAGAAATCAATCTGATCTTTTGGTTTCCATCCATCAAACGATCAAATTAGATGACATACCTTTCTTTGGTGAAGTATTCAATTGAACCAATTACCAAGAAATTCCATTAACACATGATCATGTAATACAAATTAGACTTTATGTTAACAGAACTTTGATTTTAACTTCGTTAGATTACCGGTAAGTCTTTCTGTAAAGACCACTAAAGACGACTTTCTGACCCAAATCCACATGAACTGAATCAGTCAGTTTCTCTTCAAAGAGTAGTTCTGATCAACTCTACTCATCAGAATCTACAAAAGCAAAGTCCTTGCACAACACCCAACCTCAGTCAGCAGGGCCAGATACTAGTGTCCACATCTGCTCCATCTGTTTCTTTTTATATGATAAAGCTGGAGAGTACAAACGCAACAGTCCTGCGGAGGAAGCCCCTCTCTGAGACATACACACACACACTCACTTAAACACACTCTCACACTCACTCACACACACACACACACACACACACACACACACACACTCACTCACTTAAACACACACTCACTCAC